CCCCCCCCCCCCCCCCCCGCCACGTGCTGGCTCGGCGCCTTCTCCCCGGGAGTCCTGCCCCCGCGCCACGCGGCACTCTGCCAGTCAGAAAGCGCCTCGGCGCGGCATTGCTTGTCCCCCAATACCTGCCACGGGAGTAGTGAAGTGTATCACTGCTGAGTCCTGCTCCCGCCTCTCCTGGGGCAACTCCCAGAGCACCCCGGGGGGCCGGGCCTCCACCTTGGCCACATACTGCGTGCTAGGGCGCAGGCTGCGGAAGGTGTACCAGTAGACACCTGGCTTGGCGCTGTGGCACTCTTCCTCGCCAAGGTACACGGCGTGGACGAAGTTGCTGTCGCACGGCACCCACGTCAGCTCTGCCGAGGTCGCCGTCACGCTCCGGACTTCCAGCAGCCCCGGTGCGGGGCAGACGCCCGGCCCGACGCAGAGCGTGCAGCGCAGGGCGTCGGAGCGGCCGTGCTCGGCCACGCTTTGCACGGAGACGCGGTAGGCTTTCCGCTCCAGGTCCACGTTCTCGATCTCGGCCTGCGTCTGGGCGCCGCTCTCGACGCTCTGGCAGAGCTCCGCGTCCACGGAGACGTCGTAGCGCCAGACGGCCGGGCAGCCAGCTGGCAGGAGCGGCGGCTCCCAGCCCACCACAATGCTTCTGGGGAGCTGTTTGAGCAGAGTCAGCTTTCGCGGGTAAGGCACTGCTGTGTGGCGGACGGACTCTTCCCGGTCTCCCGGCCCGCTCAGCGAGGAGCTGGCGCTGGTCTCGGCGCAGGAGTCATCGCTTTTTTCTCCGCTGCTCGTGCTCCTCCCGTGGCTGGAGCTCTGGGTGAGGTCGCTCGCCAAGATCGTCGTCTGGAACGCGTTCCACAAAGTTGGAGGGGACCAGCCCTCGCCTGCCATCCATCAGCTCCCCTAGAGGGACACAGGACACCTGTTACCACCCTGCCTGCCCTCCAGACTCCAGCCCCAGCCGTGGGAGAGAGACCAGGGAGCCGCATCCCTGCCAATCACTAGCCCACCGAACCAGCCTGCTGGGGCACGGCACGCAGCTCTCGGCTCCCTCCAATTTCTAGCACTTTGTCCCATCCGCTCCTACATGTCGCACCACAAGGGCTCTCCCTTGAGAAGTTCTCTCCCGGCTGCCTTGCACGGCCTCCCTGAGGAGACGTCTGCCTGCAAGGCCGCTGGCAAAGGGCAGTGGGGGCACCACCCTGGGGGTACGGAGGGGCCCGGTGGGAGCCGCATTCTGGCTATGAGCTAGCAGAGGGAGACACACACAAATGGATAAAACCACTTCAGACTGGCCACGTTGAAGCACAAAACCTGAAATAAATGTCGGCTTGAGCCAACGGAACACGCTCTGGTTGCCCTGAATCCAAGGCAGGAAAAAGAATCATTTCTAGTTGATCAAAACTCTTTTTTGAGATTTCAATTCCATTAAAAAATGTGAAATGTTTTCGTTTGAACCAACCCGGCTTTCTTTGGGTGCTTGCCCCTGAACTGAGGCATCTCGTAGTCGCTCAGCTCCATTTCTGAGTGCGTGGGGACACCGAACACCGGCAGGGTGGGAGGGGGTTATGTTGTGCAGCCCACCAGGGCGCTAGCAAGTTTCTGGGCTGCTAGGAAGCGCAAGGCAATTCTCACGCCTTGGCGCAGGGCTGCATGGTGGCATTACCAGCTCTGTGGGACGCATACAGCTACGGAGTCCGAAAGAATTCAGACACAGAGAGGTGGGTGAAGTCCAGGTTCCAATAAAGCTCACGGCAAAACTCCAGTTCACTTCAATGGGGCCAGATTTTCACCCTCAGGACTTAATGCAACCCTGGCGCAACCATGAGTAAATGCATTTCTCTTAGGACTGCAGGCCCGCTCTGCCCGTACGAGCCTTTGTGCCCTGATCGCTGCAAAAGCCATGAAGCTTCCCCCGCTTTCCCATGATGCCAGGTTCTCACCTTCAGAGTCACGCCTCGTTCCCTGGCACCCACCTTCAAAGAAGCCGTCCTCATCCATGTGCCCATAGACATAAATATACTCTCCAGCCGTCAGCGGCAGCTCTGCCTCTGGGTTCTCATTGGGGCCGTCCAAGGGGTTATAGCTGAAACCGATAGAGCAATAAAACGTACTTTGTACAGCAACTTCCCCTGCTCACACGGGAGCAGCGCATTGGTCCACGCAGGTGGGGCTCCTGCCTCTGGGCGTGGCCAACGCTTCGCAGGAGGGCAAAGCACAACCTGGATGAGTCCTAGGCTAGGTCTAGAGGACAAGCCGCTTTCGAAAGAGCGTCTAGACTGCAACCACTTCTTTCAAAAAAGCGAGCCGCCCCAGGCAGTCTGGGCACTGTCTTTCGAAAAAGCCCAGTTTGCACGCAATACGCCTTCTTTCGAAAGCACTGCGAAAAAAGGGCGTTCTTCCTCGTAAAATGAGGTTTACCGCGATCGAGAAAAATGCCGCGTCCTTTCGATTTACTTTCTAAAGAACGCGGCTGCAGTCTACATGCAGGGGACGTTTCTTTGAAAAAAGGCCATTTCTTCCATGATGCCAGGTTCTCACCTTCCACCGTCACGCCTCATTCCCGGCACCCACCGTCAAAGAGAAAAGGCTACTTTGTTTCGAAAAAACACTGTAGTCTAGACACTCCCCTAGTGCAGGGCTCAGCTAAGAACATAAGAGCGGCCAGACGGGGTCAGACCAAAGGTCCATCCATCCCAGTAACCCGTCTGCCCACAGTGGCCAGTGCCAGGTGCCCAGAGGGAGTGAACTGAACAGGGAATGATCAAGCGATCTCCGTCCTGCCATCCATCTCCCCCTCTGACAAACAGAGGCTGGGGACACCATTCCTTGCCCAGCCTGGCTAATAGCCATTGATGGACTTAACCTCCATGAATTTATCTAGGTCTCTTTTAACCCCTGTGTGACGGCGAGTCGGGGTTCCCCGACGCTGCAGCCCCGTCGCAGCAAGAACAGGCTCTGCCAGCCGGTAGAACAGGGCGGTTTATTGCTTCTCCAGGACACAGCCCCGCACAGACGTGACGTGTCTACAGGAGTCAGGGCCAGGATGCCTCAGCCCCCTTGAGATGGGTCCCTGGGCCCCTGGATTCCAGCCCCTCCTTAGTCTGTCCCCTTCATGGTTCCTGCCTAAGACTGACCCTTCCCCCAACACTCACTTCCTTTTCCATCCCTTCCCTTAACTGGTAGAACCGGTTTGGTCTCTGTCATGGGGGCCCTCAAGACGCCCCCCGCTGGGCAGTGCTACAGACAGAGGCCAGTAGGGGTCGCCCACAGGCCGAGCACAGCAACCGGCATGGTACTGACACTACGTCACCCTGCTACATGCTGGATCCATTCATGGTGAGCAAGTGATTGTCCCCGGCCATTTGCAGCTAAGAGCCTCTTATGTCTTTAAAATTATATTTGCATATAACGAACAGTAAATGGGCACACGTGTTTCCCACACCTGTCTTGGATGTCAGCATTACTGGTTCACAGTCATCATCAGAGCTGAGGAGAAAACGGGGCTTTATTCTGTGGAAAATTTTGAATTTTTGCTGGAAAACAAAAGTGAAGCCAAAACTTTTCAGCCTAACCCTGAATGTGTTTGGTCACGAACTGGACGTTGTTGTTTGGCAGCTGCACGTTTTCAGCTGTTTGGGTGCCTGGCTGTTCGGTGGCAATGGGACATGTTCTCCAACAAGAAGGCACTTTCACAAAAACGATGCGTCACCAACCCCCCCCCCCCCCCCACTCCCGCCGAAGTTTTCATCCAGCCCTTTTGGTTCTATGGCTTGTGAATTTGCTGCGTTTTGACACGTGCAACGGTTATTTTTCTTCGTCTCCCTCCATAGAACGGGGGCATTCCCACACTGTACCGTAGGCACCTCCATCGACTCCAGCAGCTCGTCCCCAGCAGAGGCTCATAGAAAGGAGCAAGAACCCCCAGATGGGTAATTACGGGACAGCCTGCTCCACTCATCAACCCTGCAGCCAAAACTCCCCTCAGTCCGCCCTTCCCTTTGCGCAGAGGCCCTGTGTGGAGTTCGGTACCTGTAACGAGCTAGGAAGACCTGCAGTTTGGCGGGGCCGTGGCTCTCTGGCGCTGGAATCAAAGCGACGCTATCGGCATCCAGGTCTTCCATTTCACTGGCAGTGTCCACCTGAGAAAGGCATGGCACGGAGGCTGCGGCTGACTGGCAGAGCAGGGGCACAGAGCCCTGCCTGGCAGCCGCGAGGGGCTAAGCTCTCTGCAGGGGCAGCACTAGGAAGGCAGCCTGGGCAGCAGACACACGCTCGGCTCCAGGGCACAAAAAGACAAACTCCCGCCAGGGGCCAGGGATCTCTGGAGGGGTCAAAGGGCAAGGCGCTGGCAAGGGGCCTGGAACCTCTGCCGTCCCCAGCAGCTGGGAAAAGGCTACATGCCGGGACCCGGCTCCTTCCCCCGGTGAGACCCAGGCCCTACGAAGGGCAAAGACGTTTGGCTGTTGTCTGCAGCTATTGAGCAGCCAAAGGCCGGAGCTACGGAAAGCAGAGCCCAGACGAGGTCAGGGGACAAAGGATGGAAGCCGGGCATGGACACAAGGCCAGAGGGTCAAAACCAGGGAGCCAGAGGGGCGCAGAGCAGAGAACCCTGCTCCTCCCAGGCCTGCAGGGAGCCCGAGAGGCCGCCCAGAGGAACTCTGGCCAGATGTGGGTTGAAGGCCTGGCAGCCACAAGGCTCCTGCAATGGTGGAGGGTGCCCGGGCAGGGCTGGGAGCAGGCCAGCGGGTCTGGGACTCTGCGGGGCCGTGGATGGGTGTGTCGATCCGCAGGTGCAGGGCAAAGGGCCGCCAGAACCTAAGGAGACGCTCCTCGAGGTGTGAGAAAAGGGCCTGCAGCCTGGCCCCTAGCGGTAGATGCGCAGGGTCTCCCTCGTGCCGCAAGGGCAGGTGGTCGGGGCGGGGAGGGGGAAGCCATGTACTGAGCCTGTGGAAGACCTGGCAGCTACTATGGGCCAAGGTGAAATGCAGGCTGGGCCCGGGCTCTGTGTGTGATGGAGTCAGCGTCGCTCCTCGAGGTGTGAGAAAAGGGCCTGCAGCCTGGCCCCTAGCGGTAGATGCGCAGGGTCTCCCTCGTGCCGCAAGGGCAGGTGGTCGGGGCGGGGAGGGGGAAGCCATGTACTGAGCCTGTGGAAGACCTGGCAGCTACTATGGGCCAAGGTGAAATGCAGGCTGGGCCCGGGCTCTGTGTGTGATGGAGTCAGCGTGTCACTGGCAGGGGCTTATACTGTGCAGACCCCAGACGGCGGTCTGCCGGAGGATGAGAGAGCTTTCTCCCCTCCCCTCCCCTCCCCTCTCCTCTCCTCCCCTCTCCTGTCCTCACCTCACCTCTCCCCTCCC